AGGGTCAGTGAGGGTTTTTTTTAATAGACTTTATTGTTTTTTATTTTTTTAGTTTTTTGCGGTACGCGAGCCTCTCACTGTTATGGCCTCTCCCGTCGCAGAGCACAGGCTCCGGATGCACAGGCCCAGCAGCCATGGCTCACGGGCCTAGCCGCTCCACGGCATGTGGGATCTTCCCGGACCGGGGCACGAACCCGTGTCCCCTGCATCGGCAGGCGGACTCTCAACCACTGCGCCACCAGGGAAGCCCAATAGACTTTATTTTTTAGAGCAGTTTTAGGTTCACATTCAAATTGACAGGAAGGTACTGTGATGAACCCATACTGACATATAATCACCGAAAGTCCACAGTTTACATTAGGGATCACTCTTGGTATTGTACATTTTATGGGTTTTGACAAAGGTATAATGACATATATCCACCAATATAGCATCATACCGAGTAGTTTCACTCCCCTAAAAATTCTCTGTGCTCCCCCTATTCATTCTCCATTGTGTCACTTTTGTAATAAAAATATACAAATCTGGAAAGGAAAAGAAAATAAATAAAGATATGGTTTCTGCCCAGAAGGAATTTACAGTCTGGGTGGTAAACAAGGACTCAGCCAGCCCTGAGATGGCTTAATTAACAGGCAAACAATAAAATAACAGAATAAGGTCTGATTGTATATGTTCTGTGGGGTACAGAATGAAGAATTCAGTCTGAGTCGGGTAGGGTTAATCAGAGCAGAGTTCCTGGAAGAGGGCAATGAATGGGCCAGGATATAAAGTATATTTGGAAAATGGCCACCATTTATGAATTTTCAGGGTGCCAGACCCTGTGTCACGTATGTTTACATGGATATTTTCATGTATTCAGAATAACCCTATGAAGCAGATGTTATCCCCAATTTATGGATAAGAAAATTTAGCCTGAGAGAGCCAATTAACTTTTCAAAAGTCAAACAGCCAATACACCAAAAGGATGCAAAACCAGGCCTCTGTGATCCCAAGCTCTGAGCTCAAGTCACCAGTCCACATTGCCTAAAGCGGCTGAAGGCAAAGAATGACCTTCTTCTCAGAGGAACAAGTAACTCGGGGAGCCCAAACTCAAATTGTGGCTGTAAGTAAATGCCATGAGAAAAGTCAGCATCACCCCCTTCCCTTTGGCTGAGCACATCTCAGCCCCATGGTCCTTGGAGAGTGCTTTGTAAGAAAATAAAGACAAAGATCCAGACTGTCTTTATCCCTGACAAGGTGCTTCCGTTGTGATGGAGGTGAAGAAGAACCTAGAAAGAAATGCCACGTGGCACAGGGGTACAGAATGATATTTATGCCCCTATCATAAAGCCATGTGTGTTCTGTGGCAATGAACTGTGAATGCATCAGCCTTCCCACAAGCCTGTGGACTGCCACAGGGCAGAGCCCACACCCCTGTTTGTCTGTATCCCCACAGGTTGGCCTCATGCCTGGCACTTAGCAGAGCTCCGTATTTGTGGAATGAATGAATGAACAAATGAATGAATGAATATATAAAAATGTAAAAAGCTACGACTCTTATATGCTGGTGTCCTGATCCATAAAATAGGACCAACTGGGGGCTTCCCTGGCGACACAGTGCTTGAGAATCTGCCTGCCGATGCAGGGGACACGGCTTCGAGCCCTGGTCTGGGAAGATCCCACATGCTGCGGAGCATCTGGGCCCGTGAGCCACAATTACTGAGCCTGCGCGTCTGGAGCCTGTGCTCCGCAACGAGAGGCCGCGATAGTGAGACGCCCGCGCACCGTGATGAAGAGTGGCCCCCGCCTGCCGCAACTAGAGAAAGCCCTCACACAGAAACGAAGACCCAACACAGCCATAAATAAATAAATAAATAAATAAATTTAAAAATTCAGGACATATGTCAATATTTAAAAAAAAAAAATAGGACCAACTGTAGTCTTTTCATCTAGGGATTACTGTGATCATTAAATGCGCAAATGGTGTAAAGGATTTAGTGTAAGATGTGTACAAGAGCACACACAATGTGATTGACGGTTCTGATATTAGCTATTAGCACTATTGTTATTTGTGTATCCTTTAAAAGCTGGTCCCTCAGGATACACACCCTTTAAGCCATTTATTGACCATTTTACTAACATCTTCAACAGGATTGGCAAGCAGAGTTACAAGTTTGTCTTCAGCAAGTATGCTTTCCTGCTCTGGATCCTGCCCACCTTTGCCACAGCTGTCTGTGCCTTCCCAGCCTCTATCCCAGGCCTTAACATGTCCTCATGGGTGGTGTGCCTACCTGTGCACACGCTCACCAGCATTTACCGTCCAGGGTAATTCACAAGGTTTCAGAGTGTTACCTCCCTCTCACCACTTCCCCAAATTTATTCTCCAGTTTCCCATTTTTGTCAAGACCAGTTTAACTATGCCCTTTAGACTCAGTGACAGAAACAAGACCATCCCCCAGGGCAGAAACAACTCACCCCATCATGGGTACTAGGTGTTCACACGTCATATTTGCATTTCCAGTGGGGCCTTCTGTCCAGTGTCTTATTCCAAAGGAGAATCTGGGACAGTGGGACAAAAACCTAATGGTGCAAGCCTTGTCACAAATCAGACCACGAGGTGGCGCCCTCATTGGCCCCCCCACCTAGAGCTAACCCACAGTTGAGAAGAGTCAGCATACTTGTATGTATAGTTAGCACTTACCCGGATTATGGATAACCTTCTTTCCAAGTTAACCCCTCTCTGGTTTAACCCCGCACCAGGAACTCTGGCCATCTCCCCCCAGCCACCACCCCTGCATTGCCAAGCAGAGAAGTTGGAGGCTCCCTGTAACAACAAGCCAAAGCTCAAATAATCAAGAAGGGCAAGTGCTACAGGGGGGAAACTCAAGGGCAATACAAAATAGGGATTCTTGTGGCATCTATGCCACAACTGTGGGATCTTCGGCCACTTTCTGGGTCTCGGTGTCTCCATCTGCCAAGCGAGGAGGTTGGACTTCATGATTTGCTAAGATTTCTCCCATTCAGTTGTTCTTCCTTCAACAAATGGATTCAAAGGTGATCCCAAAGACCAGGCCCTCAGGAAGCTCACACTGTAACAGAGGAGATAAGACAGGAATACAAAAGTCACTGTACTGCAGGTGGAGTGGCTGGCTTAGGGACATGGTTTGAAGTTACGAAATGTTCTGTAAAGTATATTTGCATTTTTTAAAGCATTTACATACATATATACAACAGGAAAAAAATCTGAAAGTTTATGTACCAAAATGTGATGTCTCTGCATTATGGGTATGTGTGCTTTTAAAATATTTTTTCTTTCCTTTTTGCTTTTTAATAGTTTCTCATTTTTCCACAGAGGGTATGATTAATAGCATTAAAAACAGAAAAACAAAAAATCACGTTTCATATTCAAACAGAATTGAGTTTAAATCCCAGCTATATTACAAACATGCTGCATGGCCTGGGGCAAGTCATCTAACCTCTCCAAGTCTCAACTGCCTTGCATTTAAAATGGAATTGTTTTTAACTTAATATTGCCATTAAATGCTTTGGGACCTCAAATTCACAGGGATGAGTTAATCATGTTTCCCAATTCATAGCACCTCATTGTCATCGATCTAAGCCAGGCCTCTCTCTTACTTTATTGATTTATTTCCTTTTATTCCCATCCCTTATTCCCCTTTCCTTCTGCCTCACCCTTAGGCACCCATTTTGTATTTGATATGTATAATATTTTTTAACTTGAAAATGTTTTTGAAGATGTGTGTGGTTGGCTGTATCTTATAACAAAAGATATTATGCTATAAATCTCATTGTTTCCTACTTTTTTCACAAAGAACAATGTATTTAAGATCTTTCCATATTGCTTTTTGGACATGTCATCCAGGACTTCTAAGTACTGCATAATTGCTGTGCTATGCATGTACTCCACTCTACCTTTCCATAATTCCCAGTGAGGGGCACCCAGGTGTTTTCCAACTCTCTGTCACCATAAACACCACCCTGAGCATAGTCGTACATGGCCCCCGATGGACCTGTGTGAAAATTCTTTGAGAGCTCTGCCCTGGAGCAGAATTGCTGGGTCAGGAGGTATCTATATTCCTAATGGGATCAGAAGGTCTTCACAGCCTCTGCCTCCACCAGCAGGAGACTTCCCATGTCTCCACACCCTTGTCTGTACTTGGCACTATCGAGTTTTCTAATTTTTGCCAACCTAACAGATGTTCTATCACTCTGTGGTTTTCACTTTATTTGACTGCCTAATAGTTTGAGCATCTTGGCATATGCTCATTAGACCTCGGGTTTCCTATTTTGTAAATTGCCTGTTCCTTTTCTTTGCCCACTATCTACTAGGAATGCTGTCTTTTTCTTGTTGACTTTCAGGAGTCCTTATATATTCTAAATATCAATGCCTTGACTGTCTTAGACATTGTAAATAATCTTCTCCCATTCTTGCCCCATAGTTTACTTTTTGAAGTGTTAAGCTGTTTTTCTTCACCTCTCCATCAGTAAGATCATCCTTTACCTTGTCTTCTTTTACCTTATAAAGGTTTACCTTTCACCTTTAGGTCTTTAATACATCACATATTTGCCATGGAAAATACTTCATGGCATTTTGTGAAGGATAAAATAATACAGGTAAAGCGCCAATACAGTGCCTCAGACCCAAGAGCTGTACAATTGTGGGTGATTATTATTATCATTTGAGTAGAAAGTGGTAAGCACTGCCCTAGGAAATCTAGAGATACGGGAGTTTGAATGCTGTTTTAGCTAGATCAGAAAAGATTTTATGGGCAAAGTTTAAGTGATGGAGATTGGCCTGAAAAAAGAATGTAGGAGTCATTTATGTTGAGATGTAAAGGGCAGTATTCCAGGTAGAGGAACTGGCCTGGGCAAAGGCCTGGAGGCAGGAATGCCACAGGTTGACAATGTTTGGGCCGATCACATCGAAGAGAGGGGTCTGACTACTCACCAACTGCTGTCTGTCTTTCTGCCCATACCCACCCCACCCCTTCCCCCTGCAGGCTCCCTGTTCTCCACCCTGAAGCCCCCCGACGCCGTGTTCAAGGTGGTGTTCTGGCTGGGCTACTTCAACAGCTGCCTCAACCCCATCATCTACCCGTGCTCCAGCAAGGAGTTCAAGCGCGCCTTCGTGCACATCCTCGGGTGCCAGTGCCGCGGCGGCCGCCGCCGCCGCCGTCGCCGCCTCTTGGGCGGCTGCGCCTACACCTACCGGCCGTGGACGCGCGGCGGCTCGCTGGAGCGGTCGCAGTCGCGCAAGGACTCGCTGGATGACAGCGGCAGCTGCCTGAGCGGCAGCCAGCGAACCCTACCCTCGGCCTCGCCGAGCCCCGGCTACCTGGGGCGCGGCGCGCCGCCGCCCGTCGAGCTGTGCGCCTTCCCGGAGTGGAAGGCGCCTGGCGCCCTCCTGAGCCTGCCCGCGCCCGAGCCCCCGGGCCGCCGCGGCCGCCACGACTCGAGCCCGCTCTTCACCTTCAAGCTGCTGGCGGAGCACGAGAGCCCCGGGACCGACGGAGACGCCAGCCACGGGGGCCACGAGGCCGCAGCCGACGTGGCCAACGGGCAGCCCGGCTTCAAAAGCAACATGCCCCTGGCGCCCGGGCAGTTTTAGGGCCCCGCGCACCGCTTCCTTTCCCTGGGGAGCCAATCATCGTGGGGGGCGGGCGGGCGGAGGGGGGGAGGGGAGTGTCGGCCCCGGTAGACACGGGCCCCACGGGGAAGCGGGGGGAGGGGGCGGGGAGAGGGGCAGCTGCTTTTCTGGCAGGGGCATGGGTGCCAGGTACAGCGCGGAGAGCTGGGCCGAGCATGCTGAGAGCCTGGGAGACCCGACGCCAGCCGGGATTTCCGTCTCTCTCTCTGTGTATATATCTAAACGAGTCCCTCTGTACATGTATTTAACCGTGGGTGCACGTGCGTGTGTCTGTGCGGTGTACGTGTGGTCTGCGTGTGTGCGTGTGTGTGGCCGCCCGCGCGGGGGCAGAGCGAGTGGGTGCCCAGGAGGCACCCAGGGCATTGTTTGTCTCGTGACTTAGTACCTCGCAAGCCCCTCCTGTACTTCACTGAACGGTGGCACTTTGGCGGGGTTGGAAGCAAAGTCGGACATTAAAGGTCATTTCTTCTGTGCGGCTTTGAGTAGTTTGTGAACGGGGTGGCAGGCAGATCTTGAGTTGCCTTTTCGTTCACATTAAGGTGTGCCCCTGTCTCTCCCGCCGGCCCTGTGGGCAGTGGTTGTGCCGGCCCCCCTTGACCCCGTTTCTGCCTTTGCCATTCCTGCCCTTCAGGGCTAAACAAATCTGACCCTGTGGCCGAAAGTGACGCCCTGGACTTGTCCCATGAATCCTTCCTGCCTGCTTTTGACCGTTCCCATATCCAAATCTTCCTGCTGTGGACAACATAGGGCAATGTCTGGCCTGGCCCTGATCCCCAGGACCCGGATCCTAGTTGGAGCTAGCAGGCCAGCACCCTTGGTGGGCCTGTCACCTGTGAGGGGACTGGTCCCTTACCTCCTCCAGCATCTTCTGACCAAACACTGCATTATTTGCCTGTGCCCATGGAACCTGAAAAAGAGAGCCAGACTGCAGAATTTTCTGGACAAGATAAGGATCCGTATGCCAATGCAACACCTATTGGCACAGGAACCCTCCTAAGCTCGGCTAACTAACTGGCCAGCCTGCCTGGGAAAGAAGCACTGAGGAAAGTCACGCAGAGAAGAGGAGCATACCTTGAAGAAGGTAACTTCCGTTCTAGTCTCAGCGCTGCTACCAATTTACTCTATGACCTTGAGAAGGTCACATCTCTTCTGGATCTTGGTTTCCCATCTATGTAATGACAAGATTGATTCTAAGGGGCTTCCCTGGTGGCGCAGTGGTTGGGGGTCTGCCTGCCGATGCAGGAGACACGGGTTCGTGCCCCGGTCCGGGAAGATCCCACGTGCCGCAGAGCGGCTGGGCCCGTGAGCCGTGGCCGCTGAGCCTGCGTGTCTGGACCCTGTGCTCCGCAACGGGAGAGGCCACAGCAGTGAGAGGCCCGCGTACCGCAAAAGAAAAAAAGATTGGTTCTAAGGTCTTTTCTGCCTCTAAAAGCCACCAGTTTGCTAAAAGAATAATGGATAGGGAACAAAACAGGGAGCATTTTTCTTCCCTGAAATTAAAAAAAAGAGCCTAAGAGGAAAACCCCCACCCCAGTCCCTTTCTCTTCCTGCTTTGCTTTTTCTAAGTTGAGATTCATTAATTTTTCAAATGGTGAGAGCTTCTCCCAGTAATATTAGCACATCAGTCATTTATTCTATAGGCGATTGAAATAGAAAAATCCCTTAATGGGGGAGGGGCAGTCATTCATTTAGCTGAAAAGTGTAGGGGTATCAGGCATGGCTGGATCAAGGGGCTTAAACAGTATTGTTAGCTTGCTCACTGGCTCTTATCATTCATCTAGCTCCCATCTTTTAGCTCTGCTTATCTTTATATGTTACACTTGTTTCTTTTCTGCAAATAGCTTTCTCACACCATTCTTACAACTTGAGCCCCCTCCCCAAGGAGAAGTAAGATTTCCCAGCATATCTGCCAAAAAAAGAAGAATAAAGAAAAAGTCCAGAGAAGCTAGATGTTCTGTATCACAGACCCCTTTGAGACTCTAATGAAAGCTATAGATATACCTTCCAGATTAAAAAATGCACATACAAAAAAATTACATTTTCATACAATTTCAAGTGACTCACCTCTGTTTAAGATCCTATGAACTAAGCATGATACCCCAGATTCACTAGTTGTTTGAAAAAACAAGGTTCAGAATTATCTAGGCCAATCCCCTCATCTTTACAGATGGAGAGACTGAGGTAAATAACTTGCCAAGTCACACTAACCTAGGACTAAGACCTGGATCTGCTACATCCCTGTGCAGTACATTTTCTCCTCCCTTGTGCTGCCATCTTGGGGTTGAGTATATCCTCCAACAGAGAGTAGGTTTCTTCTTGCTGCTGTAGAGAAAAGGGAGTCCTAGGGAAGGAAGAGCCTGCACCCAATTCCCAGAGAAGAAGGAACAGTTTGGGATAGTCCTCTGGAAACATTTGCTTAGCAACACAAGTCTTTCAAACAAGTCTGACACAGAATCCTGATACAAGTGCAGTCTGCAGTGAAGTGAAGAAAAGAGGACAGAGCCTCGCCCCCTTGGCCTCCTCCTCCTCCATGTCTTCAGCCCCTTCCCCTCGCCTACCCCAAGCACCTGAGGGCTCCACGGCGTGAAGTTTGAAAATCCCTGGTGAATGGGACTTGGAGTCAGTAGGACCTGGCTTCAAGTCTTGGCTCTGGGTGACCTTGGGCAATTTACCTGCCTCTTCTCATCTGTTTCTCCATCTATCAAATGGACATGACCTTCACAGCCTAGCAGGAAGCACAAAGGATTCGATGAGATCACTGTGGCATAAATACTGAACTGTGAATCACTGGGCAAATGCAAGTTATAATTTGGACTTCAGATATCTGAAGCCACAGTCACCAAAGGTATTTCCTGAGGTGCTCAGTTACAATGACCTCACACATTACTGATTCTTGGAGGCCACCCAGGCAGCACAAAGAAGCAGTGGCAGCCTCCTACCTCTTTCCAGAAGGAAGGTTGGCCAAGCAGTGGCTCACATCCCTGTAGAGGGCTAGGTTCCATATGTGCCCCCAGCCAGGGCCTGCGTTATGCTGACCTCTCCAGGCTGCCTCACTGTGGTCTATCTACCCCAAGGAAGGCCTCGAGTTCCTCAGGAGCCCTTGGAGTGAACATGTCCTCTCTGCTCTGACCTCACAACTGGCCACAAAGCAGCCTACTTTATCATCTCTAACTACCCAAATACTGCTGGGTCGTTTGTCACCCCTGAGGCATGCACAGGGATACATCTTTACACCAACCGAAGTAAAGAAGGAAGTGGCTTGGCAAGGGTAGTAGTTAATCCTGCAGCTCTGGGCTGAAATCCCACTCCTGCCATGGGTTCTAAACCTCAGTTTCCTTAACTGTAAAACTGTAAAATAGGGATAATAATAGTACTTACTTCATAGGGGCATTAGGAGGATCAAATGAGATCATGAGGGTAAAAATGACACCATGCCAGTCACCTGGAGAACATCCAATAAGTGGTAGCTGTTTGCAGAGGTATTAGTTATTTAATTCATTACTTTGATATATGAAGTTTAAAAAATCTGAGTAAAAAGACAAAACAAATTTGGTACTATTCATCAGATATCAGGGTTTTAGGACTCAGGGTCCACCTTGAAGAAGAAAGACACAAGCTTATGACAGAGTAAAAGAATTTTATGTCTTACAGCATGAAAAAACATATTACTCAAGGTGATGATCAGCCCAAACTAAAAGGAAAAGTGAAATTTAATCAAATAATGTTATAGAACATTCTAGAGTGACAAAGCCAGAATAGGTGTGTGAGAGAAGTCTGGATGTCTTAGGGATAGTGCATCCCGTGACGAAGTAGTGGGAGGAGGGGACACAGGGCTGCTCTGAGCATGTACCTGGGTTCAAGGCCCAGCTCCACTGTCTGAACCAGCTACTTAGGCCTGAGGCTGATTGCCCTGTGTGGAAATAGGGGATGTGGTTAGCACTGACCTCACAAGGTTGGGATGAGACAACATATGAAAGAGCTTGGCCCAGACTGGGCACTGTTTTTATTACCTGTGGGCTACCTTACATATCCTCCTTTCCCGCAGTTCTCAACTTTCTTAAACCAGAAGCTCCTTTAAGAATCTGGTGAAAACCAAAGAAAAGTAAGCATAACAGCCCAAATGTCACCTACAATTCATGCCCCCCAAATCTCCCAACAGACATATGGAACCCATAAACTTTTCAACAGATTTTACTCCCTTGATATACAGAAGTAGCCAAATCCAGAGAGAAATATACACACGAGACATGCTAGCCCTCAGGGAGCCCAGCCTGGATGAGAGGTGGGCAGGTCACCAGGGAATTTGAGTGTGTGACACGAGTTGGGCGTCTACCACCACCCTCACTTGGTAAGACCCCAAGTGTCAGGCTCCATCTTCCATTTGGGGCATGGAGGTGATGGATAAGTGCCCTGGGACCTTGGGAGTGGGCTGCATGGGACCTAGGCAAAGTACTGAGCATCGCTCCTCCAGATGAAGAACAGGCCTCCTCCTGCCTGCTGTCACCAAGAGGTCCTCACCAGATGCCAAAAAGTAGAACAGCAACCACTCCTCAGCTCAAATTAGGGGTTGACTTCCAACCAAACCTGGAAACAGACATGGCAGCCTCTAGCTACCCCACCTCCTCTCAGCAGATTCCTTCAGTACGGTCTTCACCTTACCCCCCCAGTCCATGGAATCTTTATTTAGTCTGGCTAAGGGTGAGAGTCAGGATACAAAGGCATGGCTGGGTCAACTTAGAAGAAATTGCGTCCTTCCACAGCCTTCCCACATTACACCTGGACCTGCCTTCTGAAACTTAAGAACCAAGCATTGGCCATGTTTTTCTTTGGCTTCCCCTGGAAAACCTTTCCCTCAGTCAATGGGACTAAGCTGGCTTTCCCTTGGTCAATGGGACTGGCTGGCTTGGCTACAGTCAGAGCCTCAGTGTATGAGTTAGTTCGCTGAAGTGTGGGTGTTGGGAGGTGGGGAGGGGACAGATGTTCAATATGCTCCCATTCCTGCTCTAACCTCTCAGCCCTCTCCTTCCCCGCTCTGCTCCAGCCATGCTGGCCTCTGCTGTTCCTCAGACTGGGGAGCCTGGCTCCCCACTCAGGGCCTTTGCACTTGCTGGCCCCTCTACCTAGCTCTCCTTCTCTCCACACGGCTTCCTCCCTCACCTCCTTTGCATCTTTGTTCAAGGGTCACCTCTCAGGGGTCATCTGATTCCTCTGACTGTCCTATTTAAAACTGACGTCCTCACTGCCCACGTCATCTAGCCCCTCCTATAGCCCTTTCCCACTTTTATTTTCTCCATAGCACTTATTGCTGCCTAGCATGTTTTATATTTTATCTGTTTTTATGTTTTTTTGTCTGTCTCCCCATGCACACTAGAAATACAAGTTCCATGAGGGTGGGGATTTTTTTTCTGTTTTGTTCAGCATTGTATCCTCAGCATCTAAAGTAGTGCTTGCCACCTGGTTAAGTGTTCGAATATTTTTGAATGAATGAGTGTATGTTACCTCACCATGAGTGTGGGAGTGCTATCATAGTAGGAGAACAGAGTGCTAGGGGAGCTCGTGGTAGGGGCTCCTACCTCTAACTTGATGATGCGAGCTGGGGCAGGGGGCAGTTCTGGTCAGGGAAGGCTTCCTGTAGGAAGTGGCATCTGAAGAATGTCAGCTGGGCCCTGCCTACCCAACACCCACTGTGGTTCCGTTGTTAGTGCTTTCATACACCACCTGGGTGGAGATGGGAGTCTAAAGGCCAGGTATCTGGTCATAGCCCAGCTCCTAAGTCTGCCCCCTCTTTAGGCTTCTGTCTACTGTCTGACAATCAGAAGCATTGAGCCAAAGACACCCCTAAGCTCTGCCGATCTATGATGCCACTTTTGTTCTCTCCTCAATGCACAGTCCTCATAGACGAGCTACTTTTTGGAGACAACGTCATAGTGATTAGTAAGATAAACAGCATTGGCCCTTGCTGATGGCCTCATTCAGAAAAGCAGCATCTATATAAGAAGCTTCCAGAACTGCTCGGGAGCAGAGGAAAGTGCTAAAACCTGGTGACTGCCCTCACATATAGTGCCAGTTGCTTCTGCTGAAAGTATGTTTGTGTCTCCACCAAACACCACCTGAAATCCGGCAACCACTTACACCTGTATGTCACGCCCCCGTTTGTTCTTTCATTTAGTCTACAAATGATTGTTGATCTGGGAGCCAAAGAAACAAAGGCAAATAAAACGCAGCCTTTGCACTCATGAACATTTCAGTCTGAAAGAGGAGATTGGACATTCCCTCCAAACAAGAATTCTGAAGGGACACAGACATCGTCAGTGCCATTGGAGGCATGTAAGTAAAGGGCTTTGGGAATTCAAGGGAGAAAGGTTGCAGGTTGAAGCCCTAACCTTCTATGTGATGGTGTTAGGAGGTGGGGCCTTTGGGAGGTAATTAGTTTAGCTGAGGTCATGAGGGTAGGTCTTCCATGATGGGATCAGTACCCTTATAAGAAGAGGGAGAGGGCTTCCCTGGTGGCACAGTGGTTGAGAGTCTACCTGCCGATGCAGGGGACACGGGTTCATGCCCCGGTCCGGGAGGATCCCACATGCCACAGAGGGGCTGGGCCCGTGAGCCATGGCCGCTGGGCCTGTGCGTCCAGAGCCTGTGCTCCGCAACGGGAGAGGCCACAGCGGTGAGAGGCCTGCATACCAAAAAAAATAAAAGAAGACGGAGAGATACCAGCGCTTCCTCTCTCCACCATGGGAGGACACGGTGAGAAGGCAGCCACTTGCAAGTCAGGAACAGGGTCCTCACCAAGGACAGGGTCTGCTGGCACCTTGATCTTGGACTTCTAGCCCCCAGAACTGTGAGAAAGAAATGTCTGCCACCCAGTCTGTGGAGTTTGTTTGGCAGCCCGAGCTGTTGAATACAGGAGGATCTAAGAGGTCAGAGATGAGAACCCGGGCGAGGAGGGGTCTAAAAGAGGTGAGAGATGTGAGAGGTGACAGGGTGGGTGTGTAAAGGTCTGGCCCAAGCAGTTGCATGCCCAAAGTGATGCCAGAGCAGTTTTCCTATGACAGGCTGAGCAGGTACGGGAATCCCCACCTGACAGACCAGGAAGCTGAACCGCTCAAAGTTCCTTTCCCAGGTCCCATGGCTGATGAAGGGGATAGTCAGAACAAGACTCCACACTGCCTGGCCCCAACCTAGAATTTGTTCTCTCCTACTGGATCTGTCTGTGAGATAGATGTGTTTCAAGCCTAGATTCCAATCAAAACATAGCTTGGAAAGTGGTGGTACACCCTGGTCCTTAGGGCTGAGTTCAAACCCTGGCTCTGCTCTTCATCAGCTGTGTGGTCCCAGTGAGGTGACTTAACCTCCCTGAGCCTCAGTTCCCACACTAGAAAGACTGCCATGATAGAATCTTCTTCACACAGTTGCTATGAGGAATAAATGAGCCAATGCTTGGAACTGAGAAGTGTTGGGCATATAGGAAATGCTCAACTAGTAATAGCGGTTACGTCAGTATCCTCGCTGTGAGGAAACAGGGAAAAACCTAGGGTCTCAGCATTGGCCAACAGGAAAGTTAAAAGCTTTTGTCTGAACCAGGGTTAACAGGTGTTAGAGGGTTCTCTTCTAAAGCTACATTATGTCCACACTCCAACTCTTCTGAGAGAAGTCCTATCTGGGGAGAGATGAGAATAAAAGAAAACCGGGAGAAAATGAATAGTGCGTTCAGATCATCCGAGTAGGGGCAGATGCTACCAGGGCCTGGTGAGCAAATCTCGGTGGCAGAACTAGATTCAGGAGCTGGACTCACAAGGAGTCTTCTAGTCTAGGGGCTCTCACACTCTTTGACTGCAACCCACAGGATGGAACACTGCACATTGCAACTCAGTACATGTAGATATAGATATACAGATATCAAGGTTTCTCAGTCTCCTCACTGTTGAAATTTTGAGTTGGATAATTCATCGCTAGGGACTGGGGAGGGGGCTGTCTTGAGAATTGTAGGATATTTAGCAGCATCCCTGGCCTCTACCCACTTGATGTCAGTAGCATTTCCTGCCCCCTTCAGTTGTGACAATTAAAATTGTCTCCAGACGTCTCCAAATGTCTCCTGGGAGACAAAATTGCCCACAGTTGAAAACCACTAATGCACACAGATATAAGGGACAAAAGTTTCATAAAATTTATCCTTACTTACAAAATGTACTCTGGTATTTCTCGTTTTGTATTATTAGATGTCACTTTTTTTAAAGTGCCAATTGTGGCTCACTAACTTAATTTCACAGTGCAAGAACCGTAGTAGTTTGAGGAACACTGTTCCAGGCGAGGCTTTCTGCTTATCCCTGGCCTTCAGAAACTCAGTTGTAACTGTTTTCCAATTTCATCTGTCCTTCCCAGAGGGGAACCCTTATTGAGAATTGGGAAGATGTTTGGGTTGGGAAAGTTACATATCATCTTAGGATCTCTGTCCCACCCTCTGTAAAATGGAGATCAAATGCCTACCTCAAAGGCTTGGGTGGACAGTAATGAGATAATCCCTAGAATAAGCACTATCTCTGAGCAACTGCTATGTGCCGGGCACTGTGCTAGGGGGTTTACATACACATTTTCTCATTTAATTCTCATAGCATTTCTATGAACAAGGGACTATGTTTACCATTACTTTATAGATGAGGAAACTGAAGCTTGGAGAAACTAAGAGTGCAGACTTTGGAAGATGTGGTGGTTTTAAAATATTTCTGCAGGTTCTTCTTATTAAGAGGTGAAGTCTAATTATTCACCCCTTGAATAGAATGCAGCAGAAGTGACCCCGTGGGACTTCCAAAGTCATGTAACATAATTCAATCCTCATGTCTTTCTCTCTTGTGATGCTTGCCCTTGGAACCCACCTGTCATTTTATGAGGAAGCCCAGGCCGCATGAAGAGGCCACAGTAGATGTACCTGCCAGCTGAGGTCCCAGCCAACAGCCAGCCTCAACCACCAGACATGTAAGTGACCCTTGAGTGAGAACGACCCAGCTGAGCTCAATTAACACCCAGCATCATGATAGATAATAATGAAGGACTATTGCTGTTTTGCACCACCAATTTTGCTTTACGGCAACAGATAACTTGTAAATAAGGGAAGACCTAAGATTTCTACTTAGACAGTATGACTCTGGAACCCACACTTATAACCATTACCCCTAGGGCCAGGAAGGGTTTGCACTTTGTGGTTTGATTTTTCCCCCCAGCTTTATAGATGTATAATTGACAAGTTAAAATTGTATATATTTAAGGTGTACAACATGATGTTTTGATATAAGCATACACTGTGACATGCTTACCACAATCAAGCTAATTAACATATCTATCGCCTCACATGTTACCTTTTTGTGTGTGTGGCAAGAACACTCTCTTAGCAAATTTCAAGTATACAATACAGTATTATTAACTATAGTCACCATGGTGTACATCAGATCTCCAGAACTTATTCATCCCGCATAACTGAAACTTTGTATCCTTTGACCAACATCTCCCCATTTCCCACACCTCCCAGCCCCTGGCAACTACCATTCTACTCTTTGTTTTTGTAAGTTCAATGTTTTTAGATTCCATATGTAAGTGAGATCATACAGTATTTGTCTTCTGTGTCTGGCTTATGTCACTTAGCATAATGTCCTCCAGGTTCATCCATACGGTTGCAAACGGATTTCCTTCTCTTTCAAGGCTGAATAACAGTCCTGGGTGTGTGTATAAATTTTTTTCTCATTGTTCTGGAAGCCAGAAGTCAGATCAAGATGTCAGCAGGGTTGATTTCTTCTGCGGCCTCTCCCCTTGGCTTGTAGATGGCTGTCTTCTCCTTGTGATCTCACACAGTCTTTCCTCTGTTCCTGTCTGTGTCCAAATGTCCTCTTCTTCTGAGGACACCAGTCATATTGGATTAGGGTCCACTCTGATGACCTCATTTTATATTGCTGACCTCTTTAATGACCCTATCTCCACATACCGTCACATTCTGAAGTAGTGGGGGTTAGGACTTCAATATATGAACTTGGCGGAGGGGGGCGGGCAGCAGCGGGGAGTACACAATTCAGTCCTTAACAGGTATCCCAAGAGCCCTGGGACTAAAGCCAAAATGTTAGAACACATCAGTGAGGTAGACATTATTACTGTCTCATTTTTAGGCTTAGAGTAGCTTAAGTAACTAGTCCAAGGTTAGGTGGTTTCCAGGTAGCAAAGCCAGAATTTGAATTGAGCAGCCCCTCTGGCTTTGCTCTACACGCCCCTTACCTGGAACAACCTTCTTTGTATGTTGAAGGAAGCACCTCTCGCCTTCCTGCTTCTCCAAGCTCCCTACTCCTTCCCTCTGACTCTGCCCTGTCTCTGGTCTTGAGCTTTTAGAAAACAAAAGCCGGGAAACCTTGCAAGCTTCTCCTGCTTCCGCCATCCATGCCTCACTGGAAGGAATGAAGCACAAAGCCTACTGTCTGCTTGAATGAAGGGAAAGGGCAGAAAGGCGTGGGGCAGAAACATGAGTGAAAATCACAAATGTCACTCACGACCCAAATGTCCAATCAATCCCCATCCAAAGGGTGAATCCAGCCACTTAGATGCTCCGCATGCGTGACACACGTCAGGATGTAGCTCGCTGACTCCACACCTGGCTGAGGAATCCAGTCCACACAGCTAATCTAGCTCAAGACCATCCCTTATGAGCGTCCGCAAAGCAGGGATTGATGACGAAGCACCCGCTGCAGCATCAGGGTTGAAGCAGCCTCCTTCCATCCCTCCCTAGCTGACCCCAGGACAAGCCAGCAGGTTTCACAGGAAGGGGCTCCCAGGGCAGAGACTGGTGGCTGTCCTGACACAGCAGAGTCAGCAGGGCTTCCCCTTCCCAACCGGAACACTCTGCTGCCCCAGCGAGCCCGAGAGGCTGGCCAGCCCCTGGCTGTAATGCACCCAGGGAAACACCTGGGCAGGATTCTCCCCCTCACCTGCCCCCCACTTGAAATCACCTACACGGAGATGTCAGAAGGCACTGGATCTTCCCCACTGCAAGGTTCAAGCCCCAGCTATTCCAGCACAGCTGTCCTTGAGCATTGTCCCTAAGGTCTCTGAGGGACCGGTGTTCTTTCAACAACTTGCCACATATTGCTGAGGCCTCCTCCAAGCCAGCCATGCTTAGGATACAGTGGTGAGTAGACAGAGCCAGCCAGCCTCTGTGCCTCGGCGAGGGGGATGTGGCGGGAGTGCCAGCCGAATGGAAACTGGAATTCACAGCCCGACTGTGCCTCCTGCGCCGGTGGCCCAGGGGCCCTCCCCAGCATCTGGTGGGCATGAATTGACATGCAGGAAATCAAAGGAGTCCACAAGGGCAGTTTTGTAGGTGGGCATCGGGGGACAGAGAGACAATACTCTCTTTTTCCCAGCATCACTGGTCTCTACCGCTCTCCCGCTGCCGACCTACTTTATTTCCCTTGACAGAACCCCCCTTCGTGTTTACACTCCATGCCTTCACTTGCTCTCCCCCGTTTCCTCTCCCATCCTTTGTAAACAGGCTCTCATCCCCACCACTTCCTGGGAACCATGCTTGTCATGAAGGGCCTCGATGCTGCCAAAGCCAAGCCTTTTCTCAGTCCTCATCTTCCCGCACCTCTCAGCAGCATTTAGCACAACTGATCAGGCTCCTCTGTACTTTTAAGCACTTCTTTTGCACAGTTTCCCAGCTCGCTGACTACTCCTTCTCAGCAGAGAGCCTTCTCATCTTCCCATCCTCTCGGTGTTGAAGGTCCCCACTGCTGCGTCCTTGGATCTTCCTCTTCCCTCCCTGATGACTTTATCCACTCCCGTGGCGTTAAAGTCTATCCACACCGTGATGACTCCCAAATCATGTCACCAGCCCAGGCCTTTCATAGGCAGCTCGAACTTCACATGCTCCCAGCTGACCTCTTGGTTCCTCCCGAATCCCAGTAACTGTATCACCATTCACCTGATTTCACAAACCAAATATCCCAGAGTCTCTTTGACTTCCCTGTGGATCTCAAACCCCACATCAACCATCAATAGGCTTGATGGCCTCTTTTGCAAAACGTATCTGGAATCCATCCACTTCTCACCACCGCCACCATCACCTTCTCCAGCAGTTGCCTCCCAACTCAACTCCCTGCTTCCCCCTTAGAAAACCGTCCATCTGTACCACCCTCCCCAGCGGCAAGAATGGTCCATTTGAAAGGTAAATGAGACCATGCCCCTGCTCAAACACTCCAGTGAGTTCCCACTACAAGAAATCCACATTGCATGCAATGCTCTGCTCCCCCATTTCTTCTCCCACCTCCTCTGCTATACTCTCCCCTCCCTCTGCTCTAGAAAGACACTGGCCCCCTTGATGAACACACCAGGGATACGCCTTTCTTAGGGTCTCTGCCGTTGCTGTTCCCTCTGCCTGTGCTACTCCAGATATTTACAGTTGTCACCCCTTTGGGACTCAATTCAGATGTCACCACCTCAGAGACGCCTTTGCCGATCACTGGTTGTAAAATAGATCACCCATCGCTGTAGCTCCTTACCTGGCTTTCCTTATTTTATAGCACTTATCAAGAGCTGACCTGTTCGTTTACTTATTTATTTATGGGCTGTCTCCTCCATTAGAAGGTGAACTCTACCTGGGCAAGAGCTTGATCCCTTGTATTTACTTCCGGATCCCCAGATCAGAGAATAGCAACTGGCATATAGCAGGCGCTCAGTAAACAGTTGTTGAATGAATGAATGATGTTTTGGTATCTGGTCCCTGGCCAGCCCTCAGGGAGTGTTGTGCCAGTGCCGCCTTTTCCCAGCTGTGAGTCTGATGATGAGCGCCTCTTTCCAACTTTGCTGAAAATCTGCAGTGATGGGAATATTTATACCACAGGAATGGGTAAACGTGACAAATCAGGGCTTTGATTTTTCTTTTTTGGAAAGCAGTTTACCAGTACACCACTTTTAATCTCTGAAGAAGCTCTTTCCTCAAAGAACTTTGGGACACTGGGAGCCCAAGCAGCACTACCTCTGGGCCCTGATGACAAAATCTGATCCTGAGCTAGAAACGGAAGCATTCTGTTTGGAGCAAAGCTTGGTTTGGGTGCTGTGAGACCTAAAGGGAAGACACCTCCATCTGGCCTTGAGGGTTTGCAGCTTTGGGCGGGTGGGGACTTAACCCCACAGGAGAGGGTGAGCTCTGGAAGCACCAGGTGAGGGAGCCGCACTGGTCACACTTGTGGCTACTCTTTCATGCAACTTGCGGAAAGCGGTTATTACGGAGGTGGGGGGAGAAAAGGAACTCACAGGGGCTCCAGAAATATTGGGGGAGACTCAGAAGGCCTGAGGCTCGATAGATGGGGGTTTACTAGGCAGAAATATCGATTATACTTATTCGTGTGACCAAATTTGCACCCTCTGACCGGTGGGACTAGAGCTAGCCCAGTTTGGAAGGACATGGGCACTCAGAGGCTGGTTCTTGTATCTGAGCTGCCAGCTTTTAGTACACAGAGCTGGGGCTGTGGTTCTTTGACTCAGAGAGTAGAAGAGCTACTCAAGGGCTTATTAGAAATACAGACTCAGCACTACCACCTCTGGCCTCCTCCATCTGATTTAGTAGAGCTCCGCAAACTGCATTTTTAGCAAATGATCTAGGTGGTCTGTAGACAACATGTTAAGAAGCACTGCACTTTAACCTGCACCCCGTCAGGAAAAGGATCAGATTTTACTCCCCTCCAGATCCCCTAGAGGGTCTACTGTCTTCGGGGACCCACTTGGGTAAACACTGAGTTGGAAGAGCCATTCCTCTCTCCCCTGGTCACTGACTTTTGTCTGCCACCTGCCTTAAGCCCAGGTGGCTTCAGAGAAAGGGAACCTCTCATCTGACCCTCCTGCCCCAGATTGTTGACCTCCCCACCCCTGCCTCCAGCGAGGAAGAAGCTAGGCCAGGGGGTAAAAGGGCGATGCTGTAACAAGCTCGGAGAGACGGTTTCCAGAAACCAGACAGCAGCTGTTTTCATGCCTTTCCAGTCACACCAGGAAGTTTCAATTTCCTCCTCTTGCAGGCTCATAAACATTTGGCGTTCGGTTTCTGTGTTTTCTGCAACTGCCGGAAGCTACCTTCGCCATTCCGGGCGGGGGCGCAGTGCACGCCCAGGTGCGCGGGGCTCTCCTGCGGGCGCACGGGGCCGGGCGCCGCCGCCGCCGCGTCTCCATCTGCGCGCAGCAGAAATGAAGCCTTCCGGGGCCTCTCCTTGCCGCCCAGAGCCGGCCTTCCTTCCTCTGTACGTGCAGAGACGGGGAAACAGTTCTTTAGACACCGCAGTGAGTGAGACCGCTCCGCTGCCCCTTCCCCTGAGCTGGTGCTGGGAGTGGGGCAAGCTCGGCGCTGAGGAGGACCCGGGCGCCACCTGCCGTCCAACGCGCCTAAGCGACGGGAGTGTGAACGCACCAAGTTGCTTTGCAATTCCCTGGCCTCCCCAGGATTCAAGTCAAAGAGACGGAAGTGCACCAAACACCAAGGGAGTGGATTTACTGAACTTCTTCCCTGTACCCGACAGGTAGGTGTACATCTGAGTCCCTTTCTGGAGAGCTTTGGGACTAGTGAGGAAGATCAGATTCAGACTGCATTTTTCTCCCTGGGCTTTACAGAGGCATGCCAGGGACTTCACAAAACTATGGGATAAATGTGGGGCATCTCCTGGAGTGCCAGTTTTATGGGGTGAGACAAGAATTAAAACACTTTTAATATAAAACTAGAATTTTAAGATAAACAAGGGACTTGAAAGAAATTTTCCTCTCCCTATAGCCACTTGCAGTTGACCTCCCCAGACATTCTGGGTTCTGCATTCACTCTCTCCTGCTGTTAGGGATTTTTTAGTGGGAAAAGCTGAGAAGCTCTAGATAAAGAAACAGGAGCTGTTGAAGAAGCAGTGGAAAGTGCAGTTAGGTAAGCCTTGACTACATGGAGGCCTCCAGGGAGAAGGTGAGGCAGGGGCATCCAGGAAGACTGCTGAGGAGGGGGAGCTGCAGCCCACCTGGAAGGATTTGGGAAGGCAAAGTGGAGGGGAAGTGAGGGGAGAGGAAGGGAGGGTATTCCTAGAGGGAGAGACAACAGAAACACAACCTAGCTGGTCCCCACTGTCAGTGGAAAAAGTGGGCGGCGTGGCTGTGGTGTTCTGGAGGCCTCTGAAAGCACAGCAGGAAATATTTTTTAAATTGATAATCTGTTGAGAGTGTGAAGACAAAGGCAACCTCATACAGTGCTAAGGGGTGATCTTAGTGCAGACATTTTGGAGGACAGTTTGGCAATATCTGAAATATTTCAAGTAAACATTCCTTCAGCAGAGCATTTGTAGGCCTCTGACCCACAGGGAGACTCTTACAAGCCCCCAGGGATGTACAAGGATGTTTACTGCAGCTTTGTCTGTAGAAGGGAAACATGGAAATGATGCAAATGTCCATCCAGAGAAAAACGCTTAGATAGATTATGCACATCCCTGCTGTGAAATGCAATGTGGTGGTTAGCAAGAATGAGGTCCCTGGCTGTATACTGACATAGAAAATCTCTAAAATGAGGTGGACACTATGGAAAAGGCAGATTACATGACCATACATATAGTTTCATTCCATTTACGTACATTTTAAAGCTGTATGTTTGAATGTATGATTCTCAGCCGGAAATGGGAATGAGAGTATGTACTAGGGAAAAAAAGAGGAACAGAGAAGGTCTTCTCTTTTTATTTCATATATTCCCTATCTTGCCTTTTTTGTATATAGAAAAAATATATATATATTCCTAAGGTACTCTAAGGTTTTTTTTTTAATTGTGGTCAAATACACATAACATAAAATTTACCATCTTACCTATTTTTAAGTGTACAGTTCAGTGGTGTTAAATATATTTACATTTCACACTGTTGTGCACCAATCTCCAGAACTTTTTCATCTTGCAAAACTGAAACTCGTTCAACAACAGTTCATCCACCCTCCACCTCCCCGCCCCTGCCCCTGGCAACCACCATTCTACTTTCTGTTTCCATGAGTTTGACTAGTCTAGATACCTCATGTACAGTATTTGTCTTTTTGTGATTGGCTCATTTCACCTACCATAATGTTCATTTTGTAGCATATGTCAGAGTTTCCTTTTTTTAAGGCTGAATAATACTCCTTTGTATGTATATACCACAATTTGTTTATCCATTCATTCATTGATGAACATGTGGGTTGCTTCCATCTTTTGGCTTTTGTGAATAATGCTGCTATGGACATGGGTGTATAAATACCTCTTCAAGACCCAGATTTCAATTCTTTTACATATATATATCCATAAATGGAATTGCTGAATCATCCGGTAATTCTAATTTTTTGAAGAACTGCCATACTGTTTTCCATAGCAACTGCACCATTTTACATTCCCACTAACAGTGCCCAAGGGTTCCAATTTCTCCACATCTTCACCAACAGTTGTTATTTTCTGGGGTTTTTTTCTTTTTTAAATAGTAACCATCTGAATGGGTATGAGGTGATATCTCATTGTGGTTTTGATTTGCATTTTCCTAATGGTTAGTGATGCTGAGGATCTTTTCACATGCTTGTTATCCATTTGTATATCTTCTCTGGAGAAATATCTATTCAAGTCCTTTGCCCATTTTTAAATTAAATTATTTTTTATTGTTGAGTTTCAAGGAAGTTTTTTTTAATATAAATTTTTTTTTAATTTACTTATTTTTGGCTGCGTTGGGTCTTTGTTGCTGCGCACGGGCTTTCTCTCTAGTTGCGGTAAGCGAGGGCTACTCTTCGCTGCAGTGCACGGGCTTCTCTTGTTGCAGAGCATGGGCTCTAGGAGCGCGGGCGTCAGTAGTTGCGGCACAGGGGCTCAGTAGTTGTGTCTCACAGGCTCTAGAGCACAGGCTTGGTAGTTGTGGTGCACAGGCTTAGTTGCTTAGTGACATGTGGGATCTTCCCAGACCAGGGCTTGAACCCGTGTCCCCTGCATCAGCAGGCGGATTCTTAACCACTGCGCCACCAGGGAAGCCCCTCAAGTAAGTTTTTAAGTCAGTTTTATTGGGGTATAATTTATATAAAATAAAACTCACTCTTGGGGGAGATAAACTAGGAGTTTGGGATTAACATATACACACTACCATGTATAAAATAGATAACAAGGACCTACTGTATAGCACAGGGAACTATATTCAGTGCCTTGTAATAACCTATAATGGAACAGAGTCTGGAAAGGAATATATATATATATACATATATATGTGTATATATATGTGTGTGTATATATATATATATATATATATATATATATTTGAGTCACTTTGCTGTACACCTGAAGCTAACACAACATTGTAAATTAACTATACTTCAATTTTTTTTTAATGGTTTAAAAAATTTTTTAACTCTTTTGTTAAGAGTATGGTCTGATAAATTTTGACAAACGTATGCATTCGTGTGACCAATACCAAAATCAAGATGTAGAAGATTTTCAACACTCCCCAAGTTTCTCTCATGCGCCTATGCAGTCATTCTCTTCCCACTTTCAGTCCTAGAAACCACTGATCTTCCCTACAGTTTCCCCAGTGTCATACAGATGAAATCCTCCCTGGAGGAACTAAATATGGGAAACCTGAGTCTTAGTCACCTCATCAGACCCCGTGTCTCTCTTTTTTTTTTTTTTTTTGAATTTTATTTATTTTTTATACAGCAGGTTCTTATTAGTTATCTATTTTATACATATTAGTGTATATATGTCAATCCCAATCTCCCAATACGTCACACCGCCACAACCCTATGCTGCTTCCCCACCTTGGTGTCCAGACCCTGTGTCTCTCAGAGTGGACTCTTGTGAGCTGTTTGGAGGTCTTTCTAGCATCTGAAACGCAAAACTTTTTCATATGTATATAACCTTCCGTATCTGGCTTTGTCCACTTAGCATTATGCTTTTCATTCATGTTTTGCATGTGTCAGTAATTCATTTCTTTTTTATTGATGAGTGGCATTCCATTTTATGGATAAACCACAATTTGTTTATTAATTCCCCAGTTTATGGACATTGGGTTGTTTCCAGTTTGGGGGTATTATTAATAAAACTACTGGAAACATTTGCCTACAAGTCTTTGTGTGTGAATGTATGTCTGTTTTCCTTTCTTTTGGGTAGATACCTAGCAGTGAGATTGCTGAGTTGTATGGTAACTTTATCAAAACTGCCAAACTGTTTTCCGAAATTGCTGTACCGTTTGCATTCCTGCCAAGAATGTGTGAGATTTCTAGAAGCTCCACATCATCACCAACATCGGTATTGTTAGTCCTTTCAAATTTAGTCATTCTAGTGGGTGTATAGTTTCCCCTGTGGCTTTAATTTGCATTTCCCTAATGACTAATGATATTGAACATCTTTTTTGTGTTATTTGCCCTCCGTACATCTTCTTTGGTCATGTGTCCAAATCTTTTGCTCATTCTTATTGTTTTTTAAAATCTTCTTATTCATTTTTAAGAGCTCTTTATATATCTTAGGCCCAATTCTTTTGATATATACGTGCTTTGCAAATATTTTCTCCCAGTTTGTCTTGTCTTTTCATTTCCTTAACAGCGTTCATGCTTTTTATTGTCCTATAAGTAAATTTTGAATTTAAGAATCAAGCAAACCCGGCAGACAGCTCTTCATGGTTGATGAGGCTTTTGGGGAGGAAAAATTGGTCTTTGAGCAAAGGAATGCAGAGAAAGGAAAAATTTGTCCTTCTTCATTGGGAGGACTGAATGGAAAAGAGAAAAGACAATTGCTCCAGGTTCAAGCAATGTCCAAAGCTTCGTTGGCTGACTCTGCTCTGCAAGCAGAGTGAAGGTGGAGCTCCCCGACAGGATCAAATAATGACATGAATAAATGTGTAACTGCAGACAGGGGTAAGTGTTAAAAAGGCAAGATGCACAGTGCTCTGACAGCTGAGGACCAGCCCTCTGGCCTGGTGGGGGGTGGCTTTCCTGAGGAAATGAAGCCTGAGCTAAGCTTTGAAAGAGTGGGAAAGGGAGCATTCCAGGCAGAGGGAACAGCCCATGCTCTGGCAAGAGGATGCTTTCTGAAAGGCCAGGGTTCATGGTGCTGATTGAAAGGCAGACAGGGACCAGACCATGCAGGGTCTGGAGGACTTTAGGTGGGTTTTTTTGTCTTCATCCTAAGAGATTGGGATCAAAAAAGTGGGTGATGTGATCAGATATGCATTTTGGAAAGATTAATTTGGCTGCTGAGTGGAGAATTAATTAGAGAAGAAACGGAGAATTAGTGTTCCATCAAAGTTAGTCAGTCAGTCCATCTCTCTAAAATGGCCATAATTAAAACAACAACAACAACAAAAAGCCCAGAAAGTAACATGTGATGACAATGATATGGAGAAACTGGAACCATTGTACACTGCTGGTGGGAATGTAAAATGGTACAACCCCTATGGAAAACAGATTGGCAGTTACTCAGTAACTTAAACATAGAATGACCATTTGACCTGACAATTCCACTCCTAGGTATATACCCAAAAGAACTGAAAACAGGGACTCAAACAAA